AGAAGAAGAAGAAGAAGAAGAAAGAAAGGTTCGGCCAGACTAGAAGAGAGTCAAAATCACCCTCCCCTAGCTGACCCACTTGTATTTATTCAAAAACATAGAGTTACAGGAAAGACCATTTTGTCCCTCATAGAAGATGGGACACATAACTTAAACTCAGATACAATAGACCTTTCACTCTCAAGCAGATAATCCAGAATGACCAAAATACCCCTGACTCGAGCATTCTAACACAGGATAATCATGTAAACTGCCTATTCAATTGGGAGTAAGTTCATTATCCTCCTTATGGAGTTAGGTTCAGGTTCAGTACTTTAGTATGAATGAACTAAACCCATTCTAGGCTACAATCAGCTTTGGTTAAGACATTTCTCTCTCCATTGTTTCTCATTTCCCATTTTCCTTTTTCTCTATCACCCATCATGCCTAGTTCTAGTGTTAAAAAACCTTGAAACTAAAGAATGCAGCCTTGTCAGCACTTGGAGAGCATGCCTAAACTTGGCACTTGGTATAACACTTGTGGCAACTGAATAAAGTTCAAAATGAAATCAGAAAGAAAACTTTATTTCTAGTAAAAGTGAAAGTTCCATTAATTCGAAAAAAAAAAAAAACGGCCTGCTAACAAACTGCTGGATAGCAAGGAAAAAGTACAAATAGAAATACAAGCACCACCTCTGTCAACCCCATACTACATATAATACAGGAGTGTCACTTTTTTTCTTATTTTTACTATATTTTTTGAATTATTAGTTTAATTGGGTATTATTTATTTCTGTCCCCATGCCAGAAATCACTCCACCTGAATAATTGGAACCTGTATTGCATGCAAAGGTACTGCTGTGAAGTTATATTTACAGGATGAATCCAATTAGCACAAAGATCCAAGTTCAATTAGGTCAGTTCAGGTTTGCCTCCCCTCTCCTCTCTATAATGGTAAAGATAATATTATATTGATAGACACATTGATATAAAAAAAATATTAAATTGATGGATAAGATTAAAAATGCAGTACCATATAAAAGGCCAACCTAGATAAAATTGAAAGTGCACTGTTCGGACCCATAACAGGATCTTAATAGATGGAAATTGGATGCTTGATGAATTATGAAGAAGCCCATTGGGTGCACAGAAATGTAATCAAAAGGATTAAATAGATGACGAGGAGCATGACAGTTATAGTACAGTGGGTTCAATCGCCTAACTGTGCAAACCCAGTAGAGTCCTCTTAAGTCCAATCGCCTAACTCCAAATAGAAATAATAAAGTTCTATGAGGCAATATAATTAGATAAAGGTACAAAAGTAGATGTATGTCTGAAGAAGTAGAACTAGGCAGAAAATTGAAGGTCTTTTTTCACCAGTTTTGTATGTCAGATATAGCCGATACATTTGGAAAAGAACAATAGAAGGAATAAGAGCAAAAGAAAGGAAAAATTTTAAAGAAAAATATATTGTTTGCAGTGGTTTCAGAAGCCTGATGGCTTGGAGATGGTCCATACCATGGGGACCATTTACCATTAGAGCTGGCCCTGAACTCTTAGGGGTGCAACTTGGGCTAGCCCAATCCAAGCCTGAACCAACCCAGACCACAATTTCACATGGGTTGGGATTAGATTTTTGGTCCTTGGGCTGGGATTGGGCCAAAAAAAAGTTTGGGATTTTTTATTTTTTGGGCTGGGTCTGGGCCTAGCCCTTAGGTAGTCCAAACCCAGCCCGAGCCTGGCCCAAATATATACATACAGATATGCATATAGACACATTTTTGCATGCAACATGCACACATGCATGTATGCATATTTTTCTTGGTAAACTATACATAAATGCATACAAACATACATATAAACATATATTAATATCAAATTTTAGTATGGGCTGATTGAATAACCCAAGCCCAAGCCCAACCCGAGTGCATGAAATTTCAGTGCAGGCTGGTCCCAGGTTGGACAGTTCAGGCATTTGACTCGGGCCCGGGCCTTAGACCCAATTCTTAGGGTTGGCCTTGGGTTTAGCCTAAACTCAGTCCAGCCTGCCTGGTTTGCACCCCTACCTGCAGTACATCCAAACAACTCCACTCAAAAGGATAATTAGGATGCTTCTTATTGGTTCATGAAGGTCCAGTTGGAATATGATGCAGCCAGAATTGATTACCTAACAGAATCCAACACGTGGCACAAAATCAGGGAGCAAAATGGTCAAGTCACTTCACTTCAGACTGCAACCTCATATCCTCGCCGAACTCGGACATCATGTGGTGCCCTCTCTGGATGAGCCGACATGCCAATTCAAAGATTACCTCATCCTTGAGAGTGACATGAGCAGTGCAGCCAAGGCCAATCCCACTAGGAAAAAAGCATGATACTGGGCTGAGATGACATGTGACACAAGTCTGCAACATGTGTCCATTTAATTGTCTGGGGAAGCAACACCTAAGCATCTAGGTAGGTGGAGGCACACTGTCAAGACTCAGGAGGCAAGATGTCACATGCAGATCCAAGACCATTGGATAAAACACATGGTCGAGCCAATACTGTTAGTGCTAATACATTTAAAGAGGGCCCAAGGCCACCCACATGTACCTAACGTGTCAATCACAGGCATGACAGCTGGACCGAAACACTGACCACGTGTGGGTGATGTGCCCATTCCAGAACAAGGTCCATCTCCTATGAATAGGTGAGCCCCCATCCGTTCCAATACTCCAGAGACTATATACTTGATCCTCATTCACCTCGGTATACCTCACTTCACCCTGCCTTTTTGCACAATTCTCACTGAGCTCTTCAGCTTGTCTCCTCTCTCCCCCTCACTTCACTGACTTGACCATCAGAGACTTACCTTGGGGTCTCTGACATTCCTCTATGTTTGCACGTGTTCTCCATTGCCAAGGTCTCCAGTAGAGTTCCAGGTTTATCATCTGCTCTTAGATCACATAGCATCAGTATGCTTTTGTGAGGCAATAGTCATGTCAAGAGATCATGGAAGGGTACTGGAAGAAGGAACCTGGTAGTGTAGTCCCAGGATTTGAAGGGACAAACATCTCTGTCCATACCTGATTGACAGGAGCAATTTACCTCATAAACCCTTGTCTACCGACAACAGATCCTCCATTCAAATTGGGGTGTCCTCTGTTGTAAATAGGAAAGCAGCTTCTTGCTGAGGATATAGACTTGAGAAAGCAGTTAATATGCCAGATTAGCATCCCGAAAGCATCTTACCACAAACCTGCCACACCAACTCTTGTTATTTCCACTAAAATAACCCCTTGTCAGACATCTATGATCCGGTAACAACATAGTTTAATTGGTACACAGTGCTCTACATGATAAAATTAATTTCCATGAAAATAACAAACAATCTATCAATTATCAGCTGCCAAAGCATGACAAAATAATTAAAAGATAACCATCCATGAAACAAGATGCAAAAACAACTAATGCAACAAAGTAGCATCATAAGCAGCAAAAAGAAAGGGTGTAATGTTATTGATTAATTATAATGTCAACTTTCTCAAGTAAAAGGAAGATCTGATTACTCTCTGCACAGGTGGGCAATATTAACATTCAACTGATTAATTCTTTCCAGCTTATCTGCAAAACAAAAACAAGATTTCAGTAGCTGAGTCCACTACATCAGAACTAAAATTAAGACAATGATGAAATAAGTACCTCTAGGAAGATGTATTCCTCCTTTCTCGAAGTCAATACGCAGCGAATGAGCTGCCCTCCATGCTTCCTTTGTTTGCAAAAGACCATCTTGCTCTGCTTTTATCACCGCATTATATAGGCTATGATTTGTATTCAGAAACTATAGAAAATATCAACAGGAAAACAAAATTATCACTGGAAATATTCACAAGTTTCAGGAAATTTGCCCACAGTCCCACATAAACTTGCAGTCCATTAGCTCAAATATAGCTAATGCTGGTGAACAAAAATGTTTCAGAAATGATAAAAATGATTCATTAAATGTAGAAAAGAATTGGCTCACAATTTGACATGCACATGCATGTGAGTTTGCACACGAACACACAGAGTAATATATTACACTACAAATCTGATTTCAACCACTAAATAAACCCCAATAGATGGTTGCCATTCCCTAGCAAAGGAATGGTATTTATTAGGTGATAAAATAACCCCCACAAGAAAAAAAAAAAGAATCGCAAGTATTTCTACTATATGCAACTAAAAAATTTAAAAACGTAGGGTAAAATACATAAAACTACCCTGTACTTTGTGGTAGTGACACTTAATTCCCCAAACTTTGATTTGCAACAGAGAGATACCCTTTACTTTCAGATTCCAATACTCTGCTCCCAACATTAGCATTCCATCAGTTTTGAACTCTTATGAGATCATTTTTCCCTCTCCTTTATTGTATCTCCAAAACAATAAAGAGTTACCACGTACTTTTAGATTCCAACACTCTGCTCCCACCAGTAGCATTTAGCCAGTTTTGAACTTTTATGAGATCAGTTTGCCCTCTCCTTTATTGCATCTCCAAAACCCAATGGCGGATGCTCTACTTTAAAATCTTCTTCATCTCTCTCTTAAACAAATGAAATGAGAGAAAAAGAAAAGAAGGTAGGAGAAGTTCAAAACTTGGGTTTTGGAGACACAATAAAGGTGAGGGAAAAATGGTCACATAAAAGTTCAAAACTAATGGAACGCTAATGGCAAGAACAGAGTTTTGGAATCTGAAAGTACAGGGTAGCTCTCTGTTGTAAATGGAAGTTCAAGAACCTAAGCCACCTTCCCTTAAGGTGCTTTAAAATAATCCCTGAGTGGTACAGCAATAGCATTGTTACACAAATGAGTACAATTGTGAGCCCAACTCGTTATTTATGAAATAAGAGTCATTATAAAACCTCTAGTACTTGATAATATACTAAACTATCACCACTGGAAAAAGAATATACTAAATTATCATAATATAACAAATTTTATTTGCAAGTTTTAAATTAGCTATTAAGTAAATATATCTTATCATTGTATGACCACTATAAAGAGTTAAGTATTCTTAAATTAATTTTTTTATTGTAAATTGTTCTTAAATTAGCTATTTAACTACAATTTGAAAAAAAAAAAAAAAAAACTTCTTTTACCAGTATCAGGTTAGCACTTGCTGCCCAATCATAGCTTTCATTTACATTTTGTATGAGCCAATCAGGTAACCCCCAATACAACTGATTCCAACTCACTCCTTACCTAGCCATAGCATCTGCCAAGCTGTTTGCTGGTCTCTTAGTTGACTTGAATGACACTCTCAGCTCCCAAACCAGGCTTTTTTTTTTTTTTTTGAGAAAAGTTAACTGATTTCACTAAACAAAAAGAGGGGTACACAAGAGGGCGTACAAGGAGAAGAAAGAGACCCCTGAGAATTACACAGGGGGGATCTTATCACAGTACGGAACTTCTAAAAGAGCACCTAATTTTGCTAACCCATCTGCAAGAGAATTGAGTTCCCTTGGGATCCAGTGCAGTTTGCATTTGAAGCTGGCAATAAATCCCTTGCTTCTGCTAGGAAGTGACTGAGTCTCCATGGTCCAGCCTCCTGTCTTCCTAACCACTTTATGGTGTTAGTTGAATCTCCCTCTATGGATAAGTTCTGAATGCCAAGCTGGTTGATCAATCAGATTCCCATAAGTGCAGCCATCACTTTTGCCTTGGTAGAGTCATCTATACCTATCGGTCCACTGTACACCCAGCAGATGTTTCCATTTTCATCCCTTAGTACTCCTCCAATACCAGCAGCTCCCGGATTACCTGAAGCACTTCCATCGAAGCTTAGGGTCCAAGTTTCTTCCATCCTAAGGAGAAGCCCACTGTAGATGGGGGGAGGGAGAAAAGAAAGAGGTTGGCATCCCTGTTGAGGGTCATTTATGGAGATTCCTTTAAACTTGTCTGAACTGGCTGCCCATTGATTACAGGGGTAGGTGATGTGTGAGATCAAATCAATCCTTGGTCTTGCTTTGTTCTCAAATAGGTGGTTGTTCCTTTCTTCCCAAACTTCCCAGAGCACAACATGCAGAATTACTTGCCAAAACACCTTGCCTCTCTTGCTCAATGCTTTGCCTTGCCACTGGTGAAGCAGGTCCTGAAGGTGATTTGGAGCAGCCCAGCTATACCCAGCTAGTTGAAGGAAATGACACCAAATGTCTCTGGTTTCCTGGAAGCTGCAATGCCATATACATAGTTTGTTATTTATAATCTAGTCAATTAGAGCTCTTTAGTCCCCCTCCACTACAATATCCTTGTAATTGAAAATTTTCCCCAACTTCAATCCTCATAAGTTCCACTAATAGTGTTCTGCTCTAGTTAAATCGTCTTGCCCAATGGGTCTTGAGTAAACAGCCATGATATTCCCAAGATGATTGTAAGAAACATCACCAATTCTTGGTTCTTTTGGACTGGACTGCAGCCATCAAAATTTAACTTTATACCATTCATGGTTGGAGAAACCCATTGGATTGCCACTCTTCTTCTTATAGCTAAGGATGTTTCCACCCATTGCCATCCCCAAACTATGTTATCCACAGAGAAAGGCTGTTTCTAATTTATATTGGCAAAATGTTTCCTATCATTTTTACCAAAACTTAGAATTGTTAGTTTTCAACACAAAGTACACCTCACATTATATGGATTTGATTCTCTCAATCAAATCTTTGATTGAATTCTCAATATATGCTGAATAATAGGCAGATCGGCAAGATTTACTTCAGATCCTGAAGATATTTTGAATAGATTTTAATTGCAAACATTGCTAGTCCTTCCATGTTTAGGAAAATCAAAACTTTGTACCTTTCTGAGTATCCATTTTGTTACTCTAAAAGTACTCTGTGCATTAGCTCATTTGGTTCATTGAATAAATGAACAGAACTACAGCACAGCAAGAAGCTGACCAAGTCTCAATAACATGATACAAGAGCCAATTGTTGAATATTGTTCCTTGGGCAAGACTATCAGCGAACTCATTAACACTCTTTGGAATCCATCTAAGTGAGCAGTTCAAGATTGTATCTAAGATTTGGCTTCCCTGACTGAGAATTGGTAAATCCAAGGAACCACATTTCTGATTTCATCCAGGATATAACCACTTGGCAGTCACCTTCTACAATGAAATCTTTCCAGTCATGCATTTGTGCAAACTTTAAACCTTGTGTAACTGCTATCAGCTCTGCCCTTAGAGAGTTTCATAGCACAGCTGAGCCAGAAAAACTTATTCTTATTTGCGCGTCGAGTCCAAATCTTCTTATCTGCTCACAACAATAAACTGTTCTAACACGTTCCAACATGATGTGTCACACATCATAGATATGGTGGGTACCAGTCTCATGGTGAGATGTGAGGACAGATCATGTTGAAAGTGTGTTGGGACAGTTTTTGTTGTGAGAAAATCCCAACTCTTGGGACAGTTTTTGTTTTGAGAAAATCCCAACTCTTGGCCTTCACCATCCCTAAACACCCAATCACTGCCTTAAATACAGTATTACCAAGGCTGTAACCATCAAAATTAGTTTTAAATTACCTGATTCAGGCAACTTCCAGACTTTAATTCTTGGATGATCACTAGTCCTTCCGTCATGGCCTCCCATCCTCCCATTAAACCATTAATTTTTCTTTGATAAATACATTAAATCATTCATTGATTCCCCTTTATTAATGTTTGTAATCTTTGCACTTTTATCCTCAAATATTCTTGCATTTCTCCCCCCCCCCCCAAATGCACCACAAAATGACACTTCTCATACAATGCCATGAAATTCTCAAGCTTTTTGAGTGAGAGTTGAATGGGTACACTAGCTTTCTTTTTGTTTTTGTTGTTTCAATCATTAAGATTCTGCAATCCTTTCATGACTAGTGATATTTTTTTATAAATAAACAACTAGTAATATTAATATATTAATGTTACATTTGTTTATAGATAATACATTGATGTATCTAACCCCTTATGAACATCCTCAACCTCCTGCCTCTAAGGGTGGATTCAAGCTGAGTTGAGCTGAATATCTAGCTATTTGAGCTTGGCTCGGCAGAAAAACATCAGGCTCCAGTTCAGGCTCAAGCTTGTTTCAAGCTAGAGACATGAGCTCGAATTCGGCCCGACCCAAAAGTTTGTACGTTCGAGCTCGATAGTAAGCCCAATGTTTTTAAACCGCAAGGCACGAAAAAAGCGCAAGGGCCAATTGGCATCTGAGGCACAAGGCACAAGAAGAGGCACGTGCCTTTTCGAAGCAGGGCGCAAAAAATAAAAAAAATGTCAGAATGTTCAAAAAAAGCAAAAAAAATTTTAAAAAATGCAAAAAACAAAAGATATTAAACATAATATTAATAAAAAATATAAACTTAAATTTTAAAATAAATGTTTTAAAAAACCTATTATCTAAAATTAAAATACATAAACATAATATGTAAAGCATATTCAAATGAAAATTTAAAAATAAAAGCAAACATATTGCATTCTTGATTCTTATTGCATTACTTCAATTAGCTAATGTGATGTAAAACATATTTTATTATTGATTTTACAAGCCGCCTTTGTACCATGCCCCTCAAGGCAAGCCCGAAGAAGTCCATGTTAGGGTCTTAAATTCTTAATTCTCACATAAAAAATAATCCTTTTATAACTTTAATTTCCTTTTAAGAAGATATTTTATTGGAATGAATGAATGAACAAAAAGCGCAGAATTTTAAAAAGTTGCATGCCCAGGCTAAGGCACAGGGTTAATCAAGTGCACCAAGCATGTGCCTTTGGAAAGGGGTGCACCTAGGACCTGGGCGAGGCGCATACCCTAAAATGTGCCTCACTTGTGTGTCTAGGCACGCCTTTTAAATCACTTAGTAAGCCAATCTTCATATAATAAATAAATAACTATAAATATAAAAAGTTCAAATTTATATTATATATATAGTTATACATATAAACACATTATTATATAAATATAAAATTAAAAATATTATATATAATATAGGCACAATTAGGCTTGAACTCAGCTCAATTAGCAAACGAGCCTACATATTGGACTTGAGCTTAGCTCGAAGCTTGGATTAAACTGAGCCAAATGGAGCTTTTCACGAGCCAATCTCGAATAGCTCGTAAAAAGATTGGTTTGTGTCCACCCTACTAGCCACCCATCCTATTTATTCACTGATGTTGTAAGCCCTATTTATGATCATCTTTGCCATTATCAATTCCATCTTCCCTTGTTTTATTAATTTTAAGAAGATTCCCTATGTTCTAGCCATCCCCTTTTGTCAGGAATATCTAAGGAAATTATAATCTATTTCTAGCCAGATATATCCTTCTCAGCTCACTCTCTTTTGTTGAATCCTAACTTCTATTCCTTTAGACTGATTTCCTTATAGTAGCTTTTCTTCACAATTTCATATTTAAAGCCCCTCTTAATCCTAGCCAAAAGCCCTTGTTTTCAAGCTAAACTACCTGAGAAGCTTGTTGTCTTGCAGGTTGCAGAGTTTTACGAATATATCAATATTTTTAAGATATCAAAACATACTGGAACTTTTTTTGTTTCAAGATGCTTTTGCTTTCCCCCTTGGGGAGATGGAGAAGTTTCTGGAAAATTTTGCTATGTATCACGAAAATTGAGAACTATGCTCATATCAAGAAATGTCAATATGTTTTTTTTTTCTTTTGAGGGGGGAGAGGGAGTGTTTTATTTGATAGTAGACTTTTTGCTCGGGAGTCCTACTCTTCTAACAAAATTGTGCATATATTTTCGTGAAAAGATAAAGGTATCTTCATAAAAGTCTCATGCAAAATAGAAGCAGACTGGTTACTCTTGAAAGCAAATTAAACCCCATTAAAAATATAAAAACCTTACATGCAGATATTCATGAATCTTCATTGCTGCCCTGTTAGCTTCTTCTACAAATTCCCTGCAATATAGAACATACGCCAAATTGCTAAACAACATTAAAAATAAAAATAAAAAACAAAATACAGCATAAACTACTTACCGGTCGGGATGAGTATTTCTACATAGTTCGGCCGAATCAACAACGGAGCAAACCTAACAGATTCAAGACCCCAGAGACCATTATGATCGTAAATAATAAACCCCAAAATTAATACAAAAAAAGCCTTTGAAACCTACTGTATCTGATATTTCGTCCATTGCTTGGACGATTTCGATCGACGAAGGCATACCAGAGATGTAGGAAATGAGTTCTCCCGATCTAATAAATGTAAAACTTGAGTTTCGTCCAGAAAAGACATGTATAATGTTCTACAGATATAAAAAGCAATAGAGTTGCAATTTCTACCTCTCGATTGCTTCATCGACAAAACGTCGAAAACCCTTCGCCGTCTTCAAGACCCCGAAGCCGTAAAGACCACTTTCTCCGTTATCAGGAGCTACAGAAGTATAGAAATTAGCTCTGTGTGTAGCGAAGAAACAAGAGGGAAGATGTTTTGAACGGAACATCAAAGCGCTTCGGTGTATCATTTTGCCGTGACTGGCTGACGACTGGCTCTCGGCAGTCGGTACTGAAGTCCTAGCATTCCCGCCATCAGAGCGAGCAATAAAATGTGAAAATTTAGGAACAATTACCTAAACCTCCCACATATTTTGACTATTATAAAACAACTCCTTGCACCTTTAAAATAAATGTACAAATACACTCTTCTGTTAACGGAGACAGTAAATTACGCCACTACCCCTGTCATTGTTCAGCAGTTCAGGTTAGAATTTGCAAACAGGATGACCGATTTAAACCGAATCGAATGATTCGGCCGTTACGTATTGCGTGGAGTCGTGGCAGTTTATGAAGCTCGAATTTCCCGCGAAAGCTTGGGGCTCCTCTTCGCTCCCGCCTCTGTCAACACTACTCTCCACACTCAATCATTCCACGCCATGAAGAACAATAACGCCATCATCATCTCCTCCACCATCCATGTCCAATCCTCCGTCCTCCTCAGATCCTCCCGATACAACAGATCAAAATGCCAATCCAGACGGCATAGGTTTATCGGCGGCATCACCTGTCTCATCCACCACCGCTACCACAACAGCGACAACGGCGACGAAGAGCAAACTTAAGAAGATCCCCCCAATACCAATCAATCGAAGCCCGTCACGGACTTCGGAGAAGAAAGAAACCAGTGATGACAACGCAGAAACGGAACTCGGTCCTGATGACTCTTCCCCGATCATCGCATCCTCTATCGGCCTTAACCACATTAGAACTAGATCTGCTCCTTCACCTCTCCGTTTCTCATCTCCAGCTTCCAAGTCTCCTAGCAATGAAAAGAACGACGGAGACAATGCTCGCTCTGAATCGGTTACTCCTAATCATCCTGTGCCTTCTGCGGAGCCAGGTAAACTTCTGTTTTTTTCTCCTTAGATCCGAGTGTTTGTCCCCTTTTTTGTAAGCCATTTGAATGGCGGTTAGTTTAAGTACGGGAGATCAATTGTTTGATTGTGTACAGGGAAAAAGAACTACTGGGTTCGGTCGAAATCCCCAAGGGTAATGAGTTTTTCTGTATTTGGATATCTTTATTGAGAGAGAAATGCAGACTAGGTTGCTAAGCTCCAGAAAAAATTTGCACTGTTACAGGGTTTTGATTTCGCCAAGGAAATCCAGTCTCCACGCTTCCAGGCCATTATGCGCGTTACAAGTGGTCGTAGGAAGAAAACTCGTGACATCAAGAGTTACTCTCATGAACTAAATTCCAAAGGTGTACGGCCCTTCCCATTGCGTAAGCCTCGTGCCATCGGGCAGATGGAGGTACTTATTGTCTTTAAGTTGGATCATAAAATGACTGAATGTTTATAAGTTGTCTATCTGCTTTCAATGTTGATTTTTTTTTTTTTTTCTTACTACAATGGCATCCTTCCCTCCCTTCCAGGAGATCATGGTTGATATTAGGGCAAAATTTGTCCGGTTGAAGGAAGAAGTTGACTCCGATTTAGGTATTTTTGCCGGTGATTTGGTGAGCATTCTTCAAAAGAATGTTGAGACCCATCCAGAATGGAGAGAGACTTTGGAGGATTTATTGGTTGTGGCCCGACAATGTGCTAAGATGTCAGCGAGTGAGTTCTGGTCAAAGTGTGAAGGCATAGTTCAGAATCTGGATGATCGGCGTCAAGAGCTGCCCATGGGGACCCTCAAGCAAGCCCATACCCGTATTCTCTTTATTTTAACCCGATGCACCCGTCTGGTGCAGTTTCATAATGAAGGAGGTTTTGAGGATGAACATATTCTTCGGCTTCATCAACTCAGTGATCTTGGAGTCTATCCAGAAAAACTTTTGGGGATTGAGAACCAGGAATTAGACCCAATTCGTGAGAAGGAAGTGAATGAAAGGCACAAGAAATCACATGTACAGGAAGAAAGTGGTATGCACCCTGACAAAGATGAAGTGATTTTGAGTTGTACCGTTCCTTCAGATGGTAGCATTGCTAAAGGTGTTGATTCATCTAAAAGAAAGGATCGGATATCCTCTTGGAAGAAACTTCCGTCTGCTGCTCAGAAGAACCTAAAAGGCACAGATGAGAATGATGTCCCCTCCAAGGATAAATTGGAATCCTCACAGCTTCCAGATAAGATGAAAACAGGTGTTAATGAAAAGGCTGATAATGCCCAAGAAATCCCTCTTGAACGTTCAGATATTTCCTTTAAAGCAAAAAAAGTTTCTTGGGGTGTATGGGGAGATCAACAAAATGTTGCGTACAGGAACTCATTGATCTGCCGGATCTGTGAGGTTGAAATACCAACTGTGCATGTAGAAGATCATTCTAGAATCTGTACAATTGCTGATAGATGTGATTTAAAAGGCTTAACAGTAAATGAACGTCTTGAAAGAGTTGCTGAAACTCTTGAAAAGATAATGGAATCATGCACACCAAAAGGCACCAATACTTTGGGCGGAAGTCCAGAGGCTGCAAGAATATCTACATTGAGTATACCTAAAGCTTTTGATTCTCCATCACTTAAAAATGATAATTCATGTCAAGAATATCCCAAAGACATGCTTGATTGTGTACATCAAACTAGTAGTTCTTTTGTCATGGATGATATGAAGGGCTTCCCTGACATGACTTGCAAAACACATTCTATTATGATATCTGATCAGGGAATGAAAGCATCATCAATAGGAAGCTTGACCCCAAGATCTCCATTATTAACTCCACGGGCTAGCCAGCTTGAACTGCTTTTGAATGGAAAGATTGCAATTTCAGAGCATGAAGACTTTCAACAGGTATTTTCTAATAGTATTATTTCATACTTTGAGTGGCATCATTTTAGCTAAAACCATAAGTGTTTACACTTAACTATATTGCGTCAGAGTTGAAATTGAGAGTATACAAAATAAGGTCTGAACCACATAATCTATCATTTAATAATAGACTTGAAATAGAAAAAACAATAAGTTGGGACTAGAAACTAGAATTTTGATATGGTTTTTTCCTTGAGCTATCATTCTAGTTCACATTATAATATTCTTTCTATTTATTTGTACTTAACTAGGGACCAGATGGCTTCTTTGTGGAATTCTTTTGAAACTATCAGGGTATCGTTAAGGATGATCTGATGGAGGTATTCAAGAAATTTTTTGATACGGGGATTTTTCACGGTGGAGCAAATGCTACATTTATAGCTTTGATCCCCCACAAAAGTTTAAGCCATTGGCTCAGATGACTTTGGACCTATAAGTTTGGTGGTCAGTCTATATAACATTGTAATGAAAGTTATATCTCTCAGGTTGGAAGAAGTGCTACCTTCAATCATATCTCCATTTAAGGGAGTGTTTATCTAGGGTACACAGATTACAGATCAATTCCTAGATGCAAATGAATGCATTTAATAATTCAAAAAAAAATAATCAAAAGCTAGCATTTATCAAAAGAAAAATCAAAAGCTAAGGGGTAGGTGTGCAAACTACAAACTAGATCTAGAAAAAGCACATGACTTCATGGATTGGTTGTTTTTGGATCTTGTGTCGGAGAAATGTAGCTAGGAGAGATGGAGAATGTGGATTAGGGTTGCAAGTCAGGCAGGCTGGGCTGGGTTTATGGTCAACCAGGACCAACCCTAAGATTTAGTTCTAAGGCCTGAGCCTTAACCAAGGCCCAAGGTCAATCTCAATTTTCCTAACCCATGCCCAGCCCGCACTGAAATTTGATGCACTCAGATTGGGCTTGGGCCCAGGCCAGACTTGGGTTGGTCAGTGAGGTGTTGGAGAGTCATTAGAAAAAGGACTGTGGTCATATAATTGCATTTGTAGGTGACGTGATCATATTTTGCGATGACAGGGTTAAAGGAAAGGATGAGGAACCACCAATTGATCTGCTAATCTGCTTTTAGTGTATTTTGATTTGAGAGTTAATCTTGGGAAGAGCTGCATAGTGGGCATTAATATGGAAGAAGGCATGGTTATGTGACATACAAAAATTTTGGGTTGTTTAGTTTTGGTTCAGTCTCTTAAGTACTTAGGAGTTAGGACTCCTTTTAGGGGATAATCTCAAGGTTAGCATCTTTTGGAACCTTATTATTGATGGATTTTCAAAGAAACTGACCGTTTTTTTATGAATAAGAAATTGGCCAATTTGAAGTGGAATTCTATTTCCTTGGGGGGCAAAATCACTTAGATAAACTTAACTCTTGCTAAGCAACCTATCTACTACCCCTTTATATTCAGAAACCTCGATGAAAGTAGCAATAGGGTTGGAGAAGATTGTGGGGAATTTCCTTTGAGAACTTTAGAGACTTTCAGATAAACCATCTTATCAAGTAAGATTGCATGCAAAAAGAGAGGGAGGATTAGGGATGGGGAGAAAATCTGCTTTGCTTGCGAAATGGTTATCAAGATTTTCCTTGGACTATGATAAATTGTGGAACATTGTTATTAGAGCATTCTTGATCTTACCTCAGAAGTCTATTACATCTCTGTTGGATGCCCTCTTGTCAAATGTTAGATATAACATACTTGCTGGGGGATAAAACCAAATTTTGGGAGGATCTCTAGTGGGGGAGCAGCCTCCTAGAGATTGTTTTTCTAGAATATATTTTTTTCTCTTTACAAAAGTAGGACCATCCTATTGTGGTTCTTCATTAGGACAAGGAATTTATTAGGATTTTGGACTATGACGAGGTCTTAGGGATTTGGAAATCTTAGAAATTATTAACCCTCTAGGCTATTGGAGGTTTTTTTGTGGATAGTTTTTGTTGATGCTTAGAATGGGCTTAGGACAACACTGTAAATTTGCTTCCTAGACGAGCTAGCTGGTGGAAGGATCCGAGGGCTGCTGAAGCTGAGGACCAATTGAGTCTGAGGTCCATGGTGTGGCCGAGGTCAAGTGCCTACGAGTGTCTAAGATCGGCCGAGGCCAAGAACCTGCGGAGAAGGGAACATCAGAGGCCCTGGGTGTTAACCCGAGGCGGGGACTTCGACGGTCAAGTTAGTGAGGGCAGACGAGGTCCGAGGAGCTCGAACAAGGTTGCCCGTAAGCTAGAGAGCATGGAGAGATGAGTGTCTAGCCCATAGTTCCGGATCCAGCCTCTTACCTTGAGGGAGTTGTGCCCTATTTATACTTGAGGCTGCCTGGAGGTGGATGGACGAGGACGGTCAGGATGCGATCTGGCCTTGGGCATGTGGCCATCCGAGGTCACTGCCTGTGGTCGAGCCATTGGTCCTGCGTTGGGCGCTGACCTCCGCCCTGCTTGACGCGCTGATTGACTCCACCCCCGGCCACGTGTCGACGTGCCACTGGCCTGCCTAAAGCGCCTACATCAGTTTTGCTTCTGATTATAGAGTTTGGTGTGGAACATCTTAGGCTTGTTTAATCCCGCATTGTTGGGAGCCTCATGCACTGGGCTGCCCTTTTTTAGGAAGTATAGGCATGCAATCAGGCAGATCAAAGAGGTAATGAAAGAATTGAGGACAAGTGTTATCTGGGTACCACAATCTGCAAACAGACAAGCAGATGGTCTGGAAAAACAAGAGGCTTTAAGAAACCAGATGTACTGGGGTCATAACCCATAGGCGAAATGTAATTGGGAAGAGAGGAACAACAGAATTTTCAATGAAAGAAGAAGAAGAACAAAGGAGGAGGTCATTGAGAATGTATTATTTAGAGTGGTAAGCTGGGTGAAGAAGATTTTTAATACTTTCTCCACAGAAGACATTTTAAGGGGATGGCAGGTAATAATGGAGTGGAGTCCTCCAATCTCTAGGCCTTTTAAGCTCAACTTTGATGGCAGCAACATGGTTAAGCCTGGCCCTTCAGGGTAGGAGGAGTTACAAAGATATGTCAGGTGCTTTTATTGATATTTACTCTAGCCAAATAGGAGATTCCATGTCAGCAGAGCTATAAGCAGTCCTTCAAGGCCTGGAAATCTGCAAGAGTCTTAACCTGTATAGTTTAGAGGTTGAAGGAGACTCTAGTGTAGCAATCATCTGGATGAGACATAGCTCAAAACGAGTATGGCAGCATGGATACACTCTAAGACAGTCAGAGGTGGCAACTTCTGACCCATCCACTTCTAACTCACCCAAACCCATCCATTTAAGATGTGGATTGAATATGGGTTTACTGAAACCAAGTGGATAGTGAAAAGAGATAAAAGATATAGAAGCCATGAAACCAAGTGGAGAGAGAAACATAAAATTGGACTTCATTAAAAAAAAGTTAGAAATAGAAATGAGATAAAGGAGAGAGAAGCCACACAACAAACTGGAGAGAGAATCTAAAGGAGAGAGAAAGAAGACAGGAGAGAGGAGAGACAAACATAAAAATGGGACTTCATGAAAAAAGTTAGAGAGAGAAAGGAGATCAAGGAGAGAGAAGCCACATGACCAAGAGGAGATATAATCTAGAGAGAGAGTAAAGAGAAACGTAAAAATTTGACTTAATTAGAAATAAATTAGATAAAAAGGACATAAAAGATGAAGGTATTTAAGAAAGAGAAGAAGAGATGAGAAGAAAGAAAGATTAGAGATTGGGCAGCAGCCTTAGCTTTTTTCCAGTCCTGATTGCTATTTAAATGAGTGTTTAAAAAAGAGGAAAGTGCAAGGTTGCCCCTCAGTAATGGTACTGTGCAATCCTTTGAGTTATTTTACCAACTACTCTGATTCCAAATTGTCTTCTTATATTGATTTATAAGAGAAAAATGAAGGAGAAGAGAAGAAATAGTTTGAGGAAAAACTGTAGGAATTTGTTCATAAGAAAAGTTATAGGAAGATTGCAGTAATATCCCTGATAAGGTAATCCACTCTTCTACACTAATAAATACTCTAATTTTCTTTATAACCAAATAGCTTTAATGTCTTTTGTGGATGTATGAAAATAATTTATTTTACTTATATGTCTATTTTTTTGTTTTTTTATCAGCACATATGTCTATTTTTTGTTTATTAAATGCAAGAGATCACTAACTTGTTACAGATACTTCAACCATTTCCTTTACATTGCTAGAGTAATATGTTCTTTATTCTAATTATGGTTTGTTTCTTTGAGTTTTTTACACTAAATCGAATGGCAGATAAGCAAACTATTGGATATTGCTCGCTCTGTTGCCAGTATAAACACTAATGACTATAGCACATTAGAGTATTTGGTGTCCCGTCTAGAAGACCTAAAATACGCTATCCAAGACAGGAAGGTGGATGCCCTTATTGTAGAAACATTTGGAAGGCGAATAGAGAAGCTGCTGCAGTGAGTTCAATTCTTAATTCAATCTAAAATGCCTTTCCTGGTTTATAGAAAGTGGACGCTTACTACTGCATCATGTTTGTAGTATTTCAGTACATTGTGTTTTTACTTGTGATAAAATCTGATTTGGTTGTTTTTCTAGTCTTCTCTCATATTTGATTAATTTTTTTTTAATCTAGTTGTTAACTGCCCATATTTCATCTGATATGTTACCCAATTACACAGGGAAAAATATGTACACCTTTGTGGACAGATAGAAGATGACAGGGTTGATCCATCAAATGCCATGGTTGATGAAGAAGGTTCATCAGAAGATGATGCAATTCGTAGTCTGCGGGCAAGTCCTATGAAACGAAATTGTAAGGACCGGACATCTATAGAAGATTTTGAAATAATAAAACCAATCAGTCGAGGGGCATATGGACGTGTTTTCCTTGCAAGAAAAAGAGCAACTGGTGACTTGTTTGCTATAAAGGTAAGATTATTCCTGATAACATTCAACTTATAGAAATAGAAACAAGGCATTCATGCTTTGTCAACATTCTGTTTGAACTCCTTTTTATGTTCTTACATGGTAGATATTATGTCAGAATTTATGAATCATTGGTTGCATAGTTGTCAAGGTGATGCCTAGGTGACAAGACGCCCTTGGAGGCTCGCCTCGCCCAGTCGCCAAGCAGTTTTGTATACTATCTTATAAAATACTTTTATATTGTTATTTTTTTGAGATTATAATTATAAAATAGACATTATTAAACAAAAATATTTATTTTTTGTGTTTATAAACTAATTTCTTTTTATTGTTTTCTTATTTGTTAGGGTTTAATCAACATAAACATTGTTAACTGCTGTATTGAACCCTCAAAGACTTCAAATCTGAACTAATAAGTAAGGGAAGAACTTAAAATTTTGTCTAATCAATTTCTTCCACCTTTTCTTTTCTTCTTTTCCTATAACAAAAATAGGGGTTCAGCCCCTATATTTTTTGAATTCTCTTTTCTTTCTTCTTTTTCTTCTCATAAATATGTTGATTTTCAAGACTTAAACTTGAAGTTTATAATTTTCTTATGAAAAATATGGATAGTTATTAAGGAAAGATGATTATGGAACCTAGGGAAGGATATGTGATTTTTACTTCAAAGAATCCATCGCCTAGGTGCCTTGAAAACTATGTTTGGTTGGTTATTTAAAACTTAATTATCATCATTTTGATATAGTTGAGGTACCTATTCCATAGTTATGAATTATATCTTATCACATGGCTCTCCTTTATTTATCTGTTTATAGTTCTTATGTTCATGCTTTGGGATTTTATATTGCTAGAGCTGTTTCCCTATGGAAATGGGAAAATTTTGACAAAATAACATAGGAATTCTCGAGAAATTTCTGGGGAATATTAAAGAAATACAACTATACTTTGAAGACTTCAAAACTATGAACAAAATGCAGCTAGAGGCCAATTATGTATCCTATTAAGATAGGTTGAGTTACATATTAGCATAGCATAGCATGTACCTTCTTATAAATAATTTGTATTTCCTATATTTTCTTTTTTCTTTTTTTGCCATTTCTAGGGTTATTTCAGCAATTCTACATTTTTTTGAAGAGGTAAAGTAAAAGTGTATTAATCAAAAACGATTGTACAAGTATAGCAGTTCACTGTACAAACTTCTGTACATATGAACACCCTTAAGAACCTTCAAAAAAATTTACTGCCACACAAGAAGCCAAAATATCCTCCTTGAAAAGCAATTGGTACTCAGCCACCCTTGAGTATCATCTATAATTAGGTTTATTATTGATCAAAAAAATAATAATTAGGTTTGTCACCTTTTCTACCTGGAGCTGCTTTTGATAAAAAATTCTCCTGTTTCTTTCCCTCCAAATGGATCACAGGACTGCCAAAGGAATAGCATTTCACAGAATCTGCCCCTTCTTTCTCATTCCCCCAACTTTCCAACTTTCAAGAAGGGCCTTTACAGAATTGGGCATGCAGATAGAGTACTGAATAGCCCTGAAAAAGTATGACCAGATTCTAGATGAGAACTCACAATGGATAAACAAGTGGTTAGAAGTCTCTTCCTCAATGCCACATTAGGCACAACTGTTATATGGCAGCACCATACCTTTTCTAATCAACATATCCTTCGTTAAGCACTTCTTTCCAGCAGGCAGCAGCTACCCAAACAAAAAACTTCACTTTTAAGGGAGCCATTCCACCCCAAACAATTTGACTAGGGAAAGAACATAGAGTCTCCATACCACTATAAAAAGATTTAACTGAAAAGAATTCAGGTTTGACCTAACCCCAGCAATGCTGATTTGGAACCAGAGGATTTAATCTTATGCTTTGCAGCCTTGACAACAGCTTTGAAATCTGAGGAATCTCTCAATCATCAGAATCTATTCTGAAGGACGGAACCCAGATGAGAGAATATCCAGAAACAACACAGCAATCATCTACAGAAGCTTCTTTATAAAAGGCCAGAAGAAATAACTCTGGAAACACATGTTTCAGTGGGATATCAGAGAACCAAATGTCATTCCAGAATTTCAACCTGGTGCCATCCCAACCTTATATTTGATTCCTTTCAAAAACTGAGGATAAGCTTTGTAAATCTCTTTCCATACCCCACACCCATAAGTAAGATTTGACTCAGCTGCATCCCAGCCATTAACTTGAAGGCCATATTTCTATGCAATGATTCATCTCCATAATTCATTGGGTTCCTTGAAGAACCTCTAGAACCATCTCTCAAAAAGGGCCAACTTAAAAGACTTCAATTTTCTAATTTCCAAGCCCCCACACTTGACTTGCCCAGCTAACCAGATGATATTTATGATAATCTTTCCATCCAACCCAAAGGAAATATCTCATAATTTTCTCCAACCTCAATGCTACCTCCGAGGGAATGGGAAAGTGAGACATAAAATAGAATTAACTTACCTCCTTTTGACAAGTATCTCACCTTGCAAGTAGCTAATCTACTGGTCATTTTCTCCACCACTAAGTCCCAAATGCTTTTCGACGTGCACTTGGCTCCTAAGGGCAGACCCAAGTATTTAGAAAGTAAAGCACCAACCCTACATCCCCAAAGATCTGCCAAGGATTGCAGATTTACAACATCCCCAACAGCCACCATTTCACTTTTCGCCAGGCTGACCTTCTGCCTTACAGCTCGCTGACTTATTCACAAAGGCTATGACCCGTGCTCATCACCAATTTCTAGTTGACAAACTGATGCTCATACCTTGGCATCAGTTTGAGGGGGGTGTAAAGACTGATTTATGTCGCTTGGGAGCACCCTTTTATGTTGTATCTTATGTACATTATTGTTTCACTATTTTCTTATAAAGTCACAACTGTTCTTTACGGTTGTCCTTTCCATATTTGTGTTATTTTATTCTTTATTGTAAGAGGAGGATACAGCTGTCCTTTCCATATTTGTGTACACTACTCTTGTATATAAGAAAATCCTTCTGGGTGTGTAGATCATCAGACACACCCTTTCATATTCTCTGTGCAGTTTGGACTGTCTCTGTCAAAAGCATTCATTGTGTGAATGGATATCTCCTTCCTAAGCTTCATGTGTCTTGGTCTGATGTAAAGCTTCTTTCTCCATTCTCTTCTTGACCTCTTCGATTGACCACCCAGCTAACCTTTGAGTAATTGTTTCCTTTCTCACAACTATTGCTTCCAAAAAGTCCTCGGGAATTACTTGTTTCTCTGCTTTAATCTCTAGCCATAGAGTAACCACATATAGATAATCCCCATCCACTATATTCACCATAGGTAGTGAAAAACCTATCCAATTTATCTTTATACGTAAGACATTTAATGGATCATAAGAAGTCATTAGACTCATCTACCTCAAAGAAACCTCCATAGACATCACCTATCTTCTACATGATTTGAGAACTCCACAAATGCAAGGGAAGGCCATAAACTCTAACCCATGTGTAACCAGGAACGTCCTTTTCTTGTCTAGGTTTCCAAACCCTTTAACGTTTCTAGCTCCAATGTTCAAGACCTTGGCTACCTCCATTAGCAAAGCAAGAATGAACAACCACCACTTGCCATTCATTTTCCTAACACCCACTCCATCACAAAACCACCACGTCTCATTTTCCCATCGACTAATTTCATCTCCATCTAGGTCATCCTTCTCAAAGCAACCCACCACATCTCTTCTCCCCAAAACTCTTTCCTTCTCTTCTTCCAAAAAAAGTGGCATATATTTGCCTTAACTTCAGAAGAGCCCCCTAAAGGCCACCACCCCCATTTTTTATGACTTCCTCTGTTAGCCTTTTTGGGAAAGCCCCTCTGATTTCTTTTAGTGCCCTTTTCTCCGCCTAACCCTATCCTGCCTCCTTGGTTCTTCTTGAAAATACCTCTCCTCCCTCCAAACCATCATGTGTTCTTCCTCCATTGCTGAAGTCTTCGACCACCAACCCCCTTCTGGAACTAGACTACTCTAGACCCGTTTGATATTATCAAACAACGACTATGAGTTTGACCAAACATTGTTGGTCGATTGAGGCTAGAGCGTCACCGTTCAAACACCGGCCAATGTTTGCATCCTTCATTCAAACACTGGTCTTGATAAATCACCAATCACTACCATATTAGCATTCCCTTTCTTGTTTCTAAGCCAACTAGGTATAAAGTGTAGGTAGAGCTTCCATTAGGTATCTCTAGTATGCTTAGGCTTTGTTGAGTAGGAGAAGAAGAAAGGAAAGAAGGAAGAAGAAGAAGAAAAAGAAAGAAGAGGCTACTGAGTTAAGGCCTCAAAAGAACTGCTTCAGTCGAGTGAAGCATTTGTATTTATACTATACTGGTCCTACAACACAATAGGTCTACAAAATTACAAAAATACCCCTGCAGGCACTAAACCTGTGTACAGTACATATAATACACCTGTCAACACTCCCCCTCAAGTTGGGGCATAGATATCAATCATGCCCAACTTGTCACAGAGACCTTGGTGTCTGGAATGGTTTAGCCTTTTTGTAAAGATGTCTTCTAGTTGGTCTTTAGAGCTAATGTATGGAGTGCATACTTCGCCTGTGATGATTTTCTCTCTGATAAAGTGCTTGTCAACCTCAATGTGCTTTGTTCTATCATGTAGTACCGGGTTGTCACAGAGTAGAGTCATGGGTTTGTCAACTAGAAAACCCAACTCTCCCAATAGATTCTTTATCCACATACCTTYGGCTACTCCGTGTGCCATTGCACGGTACTTAGCTTCAGCACTGGATCTACCAACCACGGTTTGCTTCTTACTCCTCCAAGTAACAAGGCTCCCTCCTACAAAGGTGCAGTAGCCACTAGTAGACCTTCTGTCACTTTGAGATCTAGCCCAATCCGCATCTGTGCAAATTTCAACTCTCAAATGTCCATGTTTCTGGAATAATAAGCCAGCACCCAGGAACTTCTTAAGATACCGCAGTATTCTCTCCGTTGCTTCAAGATGA